ATGCTCAAGTTCATTTCATTCAGCATTTTATGATGGCATTACGGTAAATATCTTCAGGCACATTCATTAAACAACAGGTATGCGACACAAACACGCTCACACACATTCTCTCCCACTACACAAATTGAGTTCACAATATTTTTTATAAGTTTGTGTGTGATATTTTCGCCTCTTTGTCGACCGTCGAGCTCACTTCAGTATGTACCGTGTACTATCTGTTTCTGCCTCTGTGCTATGCTCTTTTTCCCCGTATTTTCCGATTCGGGCACACTATTATCATCATCATCATCACCATCATTTCTTTTTTTTTCGTTCACTCCGTTGATAACGTTGTAAATTCTTAAAGCATATGTTCACATGTCACGAACACGGTTTTGTTCTTTGTCTTTGGTAAATCAACAATGCCTGGCTACATGCAGTGAACGAAACAGTCGGGCCATGGTACAGCGCTGTAGAGCGCGGTTCAACGAATATAGTCTGCTTTTGCACCGTTGGTTCACTTTCAAACGAATCGCTACACAAAGCATACATGTCATTAGGGAACATTTGCAGTTGATGTTGATTCTTGGATTTTTGTATTTAGCCAATTGCCAGCGTATGGCTGGGGCTTTTTGCAACGTGTATTTTTCTTTCTTTCTTGCCATACTTTACACATTTCCTTTTATTTATCCTCGGTTTCTCTTTTTTTCTCCTGCTTTTTCTTCTTCTTTTTTCTCTGTTGTGTTGCAGTGCTTGACTTTTCGGAGATTCAGCGCGCTGAGCAAAATAAAAAGGAAAGAAAGCTTAACATACACACGACATACGTGATCCATATATAATTTTCCATCTTCGACAATCAACAAGGGTATATACAGTATGCACAGCGAAATAAAACGAGAGAAACGAAGTGAAAAAAGTTGTTCCATAAATCTAACAACAACATACACACACATTAGAAAAGGAAAAAAAGAGAGAGAATAAAATGGCGAAAAGCAACATCGACGGCTTCATTAATACATCAAGTTTCGCCAAACATTTTAGCCGGAGGATTTTTTCTTTGCCCTTTCACCATACTCCTCATAACGAATGCTTTCAGTTGTCGTCGTCGTTGCTGCTGTCACCATTGCCAAGTGTACCGAGATACATATATATAGCAGACTTGCCACTCTATGCCACTGATGCTGGTTGTCGGTGAACAGTTTTTTTTTCGTTTGCGTTCGTACTTCTCTCTCTCTCTCTCTCTCTCTCTCTCTCTCTCTCTCTCTCTCTTGATTTGCTTGCTCGCGCTCGCATTTGTCTTTTGTCTTTTTTATTTTTTGTCATCCGACTCTTGTCCTCATTGCTCCTTTTCAACTTATAAATGAGCTGTTGATATCGATCGACATTCACAAGAGAGCTCAAGAATAGTGAAAGCAACGAGAGAAAAAAACATCAACAACAGCCCAAGCATCCCGACGACAAAAGCATGATTTGCATTGTTTTTGTCAGGTCAACGCAACAATACACGCAGGAAATGCTTTACTAATTATTTCGATGGCTATGGATAATCTCTTGAAATGTAATCGAAACGAATCGACAATAGAAGCAATGAGCTTAACAACCATCACTCATTTAATCAAACACCATCATCAAAATAGATTTCTTCTTGTGTTCGCTATTTTCCTTTCTCTCTATCTCAGTCTCTCATTCTCATTCACTTTTTGCCTATCATCCTATTCTTTCAACATCCTCTTTCTCTCTATTCTTAAAGAAAAAGGTTCTCTCTCTCTGACATTCTCCCATTTTTTCACCCACCGTAGTCTCCATGTCATCGAAGTTTAACTTGTACACTTTCAGCATGAGCGAGCGTCATAAGTCATCGATGTTGATTTTTTGTCGGGTTTTTAGCGTGCAAAATGTTGACGATACATATATGAATAAAATTCAATTTTACATTCTTCATCAAATCGATTGGCAAACGTGCATTTAAAACTCACTTTTCACACTGACATGTGCATATTGCGAGAGCGATAGATGCTTGCGAGCGTTAACATTTTGTGTGTTCGCAGACGACATGCTTTTGGAAAAATCATTTCATGCTATTACGTTGGGAATTTCCGATTTTCACATCAGACAGATTGAACATTTCTTTATGTGTCGAGTTGTGTGCTGTGTGCTGTGCTGTGCTGTGCATTGAGAAAAAACAAAAAAGACACAAAATTGTTGGCAGAAATATGTAACTTTTTCAATATTTACATACCATAGTGAAATGATTTAAGGGCAATGTTGAAAAGAAATCCAATATCTGGGGTGCCTGGTTTATTTTCTTTTTTCGTCGTCAACGTCAATTTGGCCTGACGAGCGGAATGTGCATAGAAAATTGCTTGCAAAATCGCTCAATCTCTTGATTGGTGTCTGCCTATGCGATAAAGTTATGAATTCCAATCAGATTTAATTTTTTTTCTCGTTCGTTCGTCATCCGCAACTCAGTCTCTTTCGCATCATTTTGGAACGAGCAAGAGAGAGAGAGAGAGAGAGAGAGAGAGAGAGAGAGAGAGAGAGAGAAATAGAAATCATGTTGAAAGTGTGCTTGATTTGCAAATGCTAATTTACAATATTGGGATTCACATTATGATTACAATCATCGTCCATTTTGCTGCTTCCGAAAGCATTTCACATCCATTTTCGGTCGTTTGTGTAATTTTATGAAGATGCATCATTAGTCACTCTTCAAGAAACAAAAAAAACTTTTGCCGTCCGCTGCTTACCCAACAGACATGATAAACAAGCATATATAATCAAGGGGCAAGTCACTAAAAAGTTGTATTACTTTTTCACGTTGTATTACTTTTGAGTGATTTACCCTTGTATTTAATACATACATATTGGATCGAAGCTGTTTGTGTGTTTTTGAAGAAATTTGCCTTGACAAAACAATTTCAGTGAAACAAAGCATTATAAGTTTTAATCAAGAGTAGATCAAAAAACGAGAAAATCAATGGAAAATAAAAATTGCACCGAAAATGGTCCAAAACAAAGTTAACTCGTATAGAAAACGCAACAAAGTATATGAGACAACCAATTTTGTGAGCCGTATTTTATTGTAGTGAAATGAAAAGTTTGTGCTACACAGCCAATCAGTTTTTAATATGTGATCGAAAGTAGAAGTAACAACAAAATAAACGATGAACCGACAGAAAGCCAAACAAATAAAAAAGTATTAATAATGTTGTGATAAAAGTTGACGAAAGAAAAATTATGTTCACCATCGTGTGGAATAGAAAATACAAAGTTGTATGACATTGTCATGCTGGTTGGTTGGCTGGGTAAACGAGAGGCTGTTCTGTTCTGTTCTGTTCATGTTTCGGGTATAAAATTGATAAGGCGATGAGCGTGGCTGTAGCAGGAAAATGATGGAAATGACGACGTGACATTGCTAAGATATCAGATGATGAAAAATGTGTTTTTTCGTCATCATCTTCATGTTTTTCGTAGCGCGTCATTAAAATTGGTTTTTGGGGGAGGCAACGACGAACATATTTTCGTGGTGTTATGAAATGCCAACGGTCTGTGTATTCAGACATTTTTCTGCTTATGATCAGAGTATATAGCTTCGAAAAATTCTTCGCTCTCTCTCTCTCTCTCTCTCTTTCACCCACATGGGAATGACCACTTCCATAGAAATGTGTGACATTATTTGATGAGGAAGCCGTTGACAACGTAGCGCTTTATTCGTTGTGCGATTTTGATGTACTTTATGCTCAAAAACTTAAGAAAAAAATAATAAAAAAAACACCGACAAAGGAATATTCCTCTGGTATGCCACTCATCCGAACTCAAGTAGAAACGTTAACGTGCATACAAAAGGGACAGAGATAGAGAGAATCAGCCGCTTGAGAATCGCTTGAGAGAGTGAGCGAGTTGGTGTAAACACAACATACGTAATCGATTACATTGTCAACGCATGTATTTTAATCACTTATTCATGTTAATGTTCGAAGTTGCTTGAAAGTTGTGGCTTTTGATTTCATTTCCTTCGTATTCCGTTCCTTTTTTTCCGTTGCTATTAAGCCGCTTGAGAATCGCCGATATCTGATTCTTCACCAAACTTGTCATATATATTTACACATGGATAATTTATTTTACGAAAAAATCTCCAACACAAACTTCGTTTGGGCAAGATTTTTTTTATCGGACCAAAGGGACTCATAATGCTCAGCGATTTATTGCTCACTGACGGCTACGCTTCGATAACCAAACGCTGATGAAATGGTCATAAACAGACGTTTAGCTCTGTTTATCATTCGGATGAGAAGCATAAACTCTTATGGATCGTATGACTTAATGGCACACAGCTGAGTGCGAACAAAAAATGAAATCAGTCGAAGAAACCCTTTTAATCGAATACCACTCACGCAGAGATGTGGGTTGCACTACACGCAAAAAATAGCCGGAAGAATCAAGTGGAATATTTGATACATTCCGATCGAATAGCAGCAGCACTTGATTTATTATAATTTTAAATTGGACTATGTTGCTTCCGCACACTCGAATCGAGTGACTCGATGCGCTGTCCATTATCTTCTTCACTCAGTGCGATTCGATGAAATGAAAATCCATTTTTGGCTTTTTTTGTGTATGACCATTGAAAAGGTATAAAAAAAAGATTATCTGAACAAATGACCCACGCATTATATGAAAAATGCTTGACTGCGCCACAGAAAAAGAACAAATCTTCAGAAAAAGACTTTTGTGGGGTGGCTTTACTTCATTCATCCATTTTCTACCATCATTTTGAGGTGAAATATTTATTCGTGCTTGAATTGGAATTTGGACGGCTTGACAATAGACGAGCTACTCAAATATTTACTTTTACTATGCAGCAACGTTGAGCTCGGGCAAATGGTCTGCGTCTTTGTGCTCCGGTTCAAAACCACCGACACGTTGCAAATTCAAACAACAAACAAGAACATTAAACTCTTTGTTGTATGGGTGTGTGCTTATGCTTGTATTTTTGTATTTGTGTGCATGCGGTTGCCATCATTCTTCAACGACACAAGCCAGAAAATCATCGAATATCACAAATAAGTAGTTCGGTGTCACAACTGAATAATGCAAAAAGTATCAGCGACAAATAGACAGTTTAGTGTTTTGGTCACGATTCGGATGTGAAATATGGTCGATTTTTTTTCTCTCATTCTCCGCCATTCTTTTGTTCTTCGATTTCAATATTTTGATCGACTCATTATACATAAACATTTGGTACCGCACTGATTTGCATACAATCGAACGAATGTCACAAGTACACAATTGAGTCCGACAGCTACAGCTATGGCGACGATGACGATGACGACGACGTCGAGCACGGTTTGCATGATGAAATGCGACAGATTGACCGAATGCATAGAACGAAGCAGGCAACAACAAGTGAATCCCGTTATTGTGTGTTTGAGACACGGCATCACATTGTTACAAATCATTAGTCAGAGCTCTGTGCCTCATGCATCAACGATAAAACGGAGCGACGAAGAGAAAAAAAAAGAGTCATGAGTGAATAATGAATTTCGTTTGCGTTATTATTTTGTGTTGAATATTTTTAATTGTTCAGTCTTGTTTTTATTAATTGTTGTTTATTTTTTTTCATCGGGAACAGATATATATATATTGACATTTTAACATTTTCGACATAAATTTATCGTTTGATTGAAAATCGGACGACATTTTTTTTTTTCTCGCCGTTTAAGTAATCAGTTGAAACAAAAAATATATAAAAATTCGCACAATGGCACCCGATGTTGAACGTTCCGGCAAAAATTCATCAAAATCCAAGGTATTTTCCATTTCTCTCATTCGCGCACTGTTTTTTTTCAATGATTTCTCTTTTTTTTCCGCCTCAATTGTCATGTTCAATTTTTATTAAAAAAAAATTTGTATGTTTCATTCTTTTCGGTACGAACGAATAACAAAACGACAACAAAAAAATGTATGGTTATTTCTCAATCGATCACAGCTGCTGACAATGGATGTTATAGAACTGACGTTGCTTTTAAAGTCGATTGGCTTTCGTTTGGAATCAATTGATTACGATGAATTGCGTTGTTGGAGCGGCAAAAAATTCGGTGAAAATGGAAATGCTGCATCGACAGCTACGCCAGCTTCGACATCGGCCACCAATTCCATTCGTACAGATGCTGCTGACCATCACTACATTAATGTGGAGATTTCATGTAGTAAATCGAAAATTGTCTCGAATTTATCGCTGAAATTCAATGATGATGAACCAGCTGTGGTGACCGATGCAGCACAACATCCAATGACAGATCCATCGAAAATGATTGTATGCTCGTGCCCGAAACGCGAAATGCGCAACATCAACAATTCGTTTTGGGAGGTTCAAAGCAGCGGCACATTTTCCAATCAAAGACGTTCCATAAATTCGTTGATGGTGAGTTGCAGAAAAAAATTATTTGTTTTTCTTTCGGTTTACTATTTCACTGTGCGTTGTTTGTTTGCTTTTGCTATTGTTGCACATTTATCAGTTCATAGATTAATTAATAAATCGAGGAAAAACTGCTTCTATTTAGAATCCAGAATCAGGAATTGATCATGACACATCGTCAAATTTGTTGCCCGTTCTGTCCACCAAATCGATTGCGCTAACTCACGTTTTGACACAAGTGCTCTTGAATCAGTACAAGAACAATATGCAATTCGGTGAGCTGAGCATGGCAAAGGATGTCGACATAAAGAGGTTAGTGAGCATCAGCAGCAGCAGTAATAATCTATAGAATGACACGACATGAGTTGTGCTGCCAATTTCCAATAAATCGCCATTGTTCTCTCGCTCCCTCTCTTTCTCTTCTTATTTAGCATCATGCGAACTATCGAGAGCACTAATATCGCATCGATCTTGGCTAATGGAAAGGTCGATAACGGCGGCGATGGTCAAATTCATGATTTGAATTTAATTACGCCGATGAGTTCGATGAATGTGACACCAACTGAACCAGAGGTAATTGCAATTTCTTTCCAAAACCCATGAATTGAATATTTTCCATGTCTAAATCGAATTTGATTGCTATAGGCCCTAATGAATAGTACGATTCCAAAAGTCAATGACCAAACGACTGCCCTGAATGATACGGTAAACACGGAGGCCTTTACAAGCCCAAAGAGTGATATGTTCACATCGAGTCCGCACGGCAGTGAAACGACCGCAATAACCAATGGACGTGACAGCAAGATAATCAATGTGAGTTCAACAAATGTTCACTTTGAATGTGTGATTTGATTTGCCCAGTGGATTAAAATTGAATTTATTTCCTTACACACATAACACATACAGTGCTTGAATAAAGCACGTCAATCCATCGACCACGCCATCTTGTCAATCAAATTAAATGCCACCAGAAGTTTAGCACAAGATGTAGCATCAGGAGGCGTAACAACTCGCCCATTGTCGGTGACCATGCAAGAATTACCGGACAATAGCACTGACAAACGTCGTTCCGTTGGCCCACAACTGCCTCGGATGTTAAATGGTCGTAATGCATCGCAAGCCACTGTTAATGGTAACCTAATTACTTAGCCCGTTGAAACAGCTAACATGCTGAAATTAACAAAACTAATCGCATTATTTATGTTGGTTGAAATTTTAGCGCGCCCACCACGATCGACGATGAATCGACGTGCAAGCCTTGGTAGCATCGGTATTGGTCGAATGGCAACGAAAAGTGGCGTTGCTTCACCTGCCGTTACATCTCGAATGAACACATCGCGGCCGAGTAGTTCTGAACGTCCAGCATCCGCTACATCGAAATTGGCCGCGGTTCGTAAGGCCGTGTCTGGTATTGGAAAGGCAGTGTCCAGCACAAACACTGCCATTGGAAATCGTGCAACTGGTAGCACCGCAGCAAAGACACCAACAACTCAAGCTGCTTCATCGATTAAACGACCAACATCTATTTCACGTCGTGTATCGAGTCCAGCCATGATTTCGACTGGTACACCGACTACGGCTGGTCTGGCAACTCGCAAAACCGTTGCCACATCCAAAATAAATTCATTGTTACCATCGAAACTCGCCAAAAAGTAAAATCACCTGGCATTTTCAACTATCTTGTTCATTTTTATGCTTATCAGTTGTATTTTTTTTCCAATTATTCATTCCAATTTTTTTTCTTCAATTCATGACTGTTAATTGTGTCTAAAATTTGTATTTTATCGTAAGGTTGTGACCAAAATCTACATGACCAAATTTATTCTCATATTTGTAAACGGCTCACTTCGAGATAGGAGGAGACAGAGAGACAATTTGTTATTGCATATTTTTGTTTATTAAAATTTTGTTAATTTAAGACCCTTATCACATGATTATTAAGAGAAACAACAAAAAATAAAACTCAAATACCAAACAAGACGAACATTTGGAGCTTGTGTGTGTACTGTTGCGTGAAAAGTCTGCATTCAAATTTGAATGTTGTCGAGTTGTTTTGCAAAATTATTACTGTTGAGATTGCCAGGGCAGAGAGACAAAGCTGATGAATGCGGGATTGCATCGAAATGAAGTATTAATGTGATTCTAAGCGAAGCAGTGAACAACAGCAACAGTGGCAAACCTCTTGGAAATTGTTGGAGCCAAACAGAGCAACGGATTAGCGAAGCAACAAACGAGTGTTGGCAACCGTAGCACTGGCAAACGATGTGCCCCGCTAAGGAAAATGGACACAATTTACTCATTGTTTATGCAATGTGAAGAAGTTGGTCGATTTATTTTCATTTTGGAGCACTGTTAAGAAAGCATTTCCCATTTTCAGTGTGGCGCAAATCAACACACTCACATCCAGTCGCCCGTGTTCACGCTCACCTATGCCGAATCGTTGTCAACTGCCACGTACAAATTCAATCCTAGGTAAGCAACAAACAACCGCTCCCACCGAATGGCACAAAATACATAAAATTCGTTTATTTCGTTTAGGTTTTATTCCTCGGTCTCTTTTTTCCGTTCTTACGTTGCCAGAATACTCGCTGATGCCGCAAAAATAGCCCCTCAGATATTTTCAACAAATAATAAAAGCAGAATCGTCGTTCCATCGTGCCAATTTCACGGCTGGCATTCGGAAGTCAGCCATCGTTATGCCATTAAATGGGATACATTTATTATCACACAAAACGGAACCCATTTCGTTGGTTGGCCTCGTCGTGCCCACCGCAAGACAATTTCATCACCTTTTCTCTTTTTTTTCTCTCTTCACAGCATGAAGAATGGAAGCGGCACGAAAAAAAACCATATAAATTTTGACTGTTATTTCATTTTAATTTTCACGATTATCAATGAAAAAGCTACAGACAGCGTAAACGGTGCCATTATCGTAAAAAATCAGCTATTTGCCTGATAACCTTTGCGGGTGGCATCATCTCGCCCAGAAATGGTACACACACATACAAACTTTTATGTTTCCAGATCAATCTGGGAATGAATCCAATTTAAAGCGCCGTAATAAACCAAAACCAATAAAAAATATTTCGATTTTCAGCTTTTCATTGCACATTCGTTGTGCATTTCGTGCACACACTATTTTTCGATCTTTCTCCCTTCCCTGTATCTACTTTTGCTCTGCATTGAAATATGACCGAGTAATGGTTTTATGGCACACAATACTTGGCTGCATGTTTTTCCGTTTATGTGCAGAAAATCTGCAGTGAATTTGCGCTCTTCAAGGGTTTCTCCATTTTTTTGTCGGTCGCTAAGATTTTTCCGCCGCAATCGTAAGATTGCCTGATTACTTTCTAATTAGTGTCATGCACTTGACATGTACTTGCTGCTGCACAAAAATGGCAATTAACTAGATGAAAAATGGGAACACCAGCTCTGATTCCAACAACAACAAGCATCAATTCGTAATTAAAAACCATTAACCAAACAAATGAGCGAAGTGATTCCAGAGCAGTGTGGAGCGAGATTGGTATTTCTGCTGGTCGATATTGTTAAATCGAGTGGAGAATTGAATTATACGGGTATTGCCACAGACACGGACAATCCCAATAGAAATATCTCGGTTGAAATGCAATGATTTTTTTTTTTTTTTCAAATTATTCTTTCACTGTACAAGACTTTTCCAATTTCCATTCCAATTTTTGATGTTTTATTGTATAAATTGAGTTTTATCGATGATTTATTTCTTCATTAATTACATGCAATGATGTAAATTTTAGAAATATTTTTTGTTACAATAAATTGATGATAAATTCATTGAGCTGATTCAGCTCTCAACCACTGAAACAAAATAAAAAAAGGTTAATTTTTTTAAATAAAAAGGACAAATACAATTGCGAAATTCCAAAATTTCAGCACATGATTTCCAGGCTCTACGTAATCAAACACAACTTTTGCTTTCATAAGAGTCTTTAAAATGGTGCAAAATCATTTTGTAATAATATTTTGTTGATTCTCAATCGGATGGAACTCAAGTCATCAAAAAATATTTTTTTAATACTTTTTTGCATGTTTGAACAAATTTGGTTTTTGAGTTCATTCTTCTATGTGTTTTGTCTAAACAAATTTTTTTCACGGTCGTGAAAAAAAAAGAAAGATCAAAATACATTGAAGAATGATATCAAAATTCAAATTTATTCATGTGTTATGTTGATATTGGAGGGAGTTAACGGTTTCATACATCAAAAATCATTATGCTTGCAATTCGAAAATAAAAAACACCATACAAATATCACCTGTGAAAATTTCACCGGAGAAATTTTTTCATTTCACGGGGAACTGTGTACCTACCTTAAGATGTTATTTGCTTTATTTGGTACCGTACTACGGCTGATTGATTGGAAAAGAAATTCTACAATTTTCGAAGAATTTGATTATATGTGTACTTTTTATGTTATGTTACCAAAAGTTAAAGTCGCTAAAACCTTTTCAAAACTCGTGCGGACGTATGATTCGTGACGTTCCATTTCGACGAAGTCGAACGTTGTTTCGAGACAATTGGTTTTATTGGAAATATTTTTCATTCTATTTCGTAGTTTCAGTGCAATATGCATGAATCGTTTCGGTTTTCTGTGAGCAATCATCACTCAGTAATGAACATGATGCATTTCTTTCATGCTCGTTAGCCGTTGTTTCTTCTTCCCATTTTTAAATCAGGAATGCCTCATTTTACCGTAAGTTTAATATGAAGAAATCAACAGCATATCCTTATCACATTTTCCGATAATTTGACATTATATGCGAATTAACTCATTTTGTTGAATAAAACCGTGCTAGAAGCGAGCGCATTGACACAGGCTCCAATCAAACGAGAATTAATATTGTTGTCAAGTGTTTGAATTAGTGACTGTTGGAAATGAAGCGTATCCGGTTCGAGTCACAATCAAATTGTGGCATGACAACGATTGTTGTGACTTTGCTCTGAAGGCGCAAATGAATGTTTTTCTCCCCTGACATCATTGCTTTTCCGTATAATCAAATAAAGTCCTTCATTCATCAAGTGAAAAGCAGCATTGTTTCCCACATGCATGTGTTTCGAGTGGTTGAATGATGATTTTTAATTGTAGCACCCATGGTCGGATATGAAAGTCATGTTCCTTGAAAACCCACTACACCCATACTTTTCTGCACACACTGATGCGCGCGCGCCCGTGTAAGCACACAATTCTTTTGCATTTCAACACCGAAAAAGCAACAACACATTCTCCCATGCTCTAGCTATAGCATGCTGCTTCAGTCTTTATTTTATGTCACGGCTCAACACTTTTTGCCCAGCAAATTCCTCTTTCCCGTCATTGCTCTCTCTCTCTCTCTCTCCTTTTTCCTCCATTATATTCATGGGTGTTCGCACGCTTTGGAGCATATTTAATTCAGCGTTGCTAATTTAATAAATAAAATTTTTGTGAATTCGAGTGTGTGTACTGTGTATGCATGTCTGTGTGAGAGGTTTGGTAATTCGATAATAAAATGCAGATGATACACACGTCAATAGAAGTTTTAAAACATTTCATACATCTGGTGCGAGATGACGAAAAATCCAATTCAAAAATTGAGCACCCGCAACTCGTCGTCGTCGTCTTGTATGCGTCTGGTGAAGATTTATCACTGGAATGTGCTAACAAAGGAAATTATGACGCGCTCATTGTAAACAAATCAATCGTACATGCAGTGCATGAAAATTCCGTTTGTCACAAACATACACACTCACAAGAGCAGAAACATTGTAAAAATTTGGCTGCAAGTATTTTGCCCACGGTTCCATGTATGTGTGTGCGTGTCTAAAAAACGGAACAAAGAGTTGAACGAACAACAGAAGAGAACAAATGAAGAAAGAAATAGATACAAATTTCAAAAGGAAATTTATTGTATTCACACTCTCAGGAGTTCAGTGTTGAATTGGTTTTCTATGTGTGTTTGAGTACCTTTTTTTATGTGACGACTCTTGTCATCTTCTTTTTTTTGCTGTTGTTCCAGTAATAAGGCGTTTGAAAATGAGACGAAGCTACAGATTTTTTTTTCCTTCATTGTCGTTGTTGAACTGAAATGATAGTTGACACTTATATGAAGTTTTGGCACGAGCTTCTGTGCCATGAAAAGAAGTGGAGAGAGAGAGAGATGGAGAGAGAGAGAGATGGAGAAACAGAGAGAGGAATTGAGAATGAGAAATCTGCAGCACACAATTTTGGATGAATTGTACTGAAATTAGAATGCGAGTGTCATAAAGGAAAAATTTGATGTCGTGTCAGAGGTATTTGAATGAGTTTTTATGCGCCATTTACACGAACACATGCACATTTGTTTATTTAGGTTTCGGTTTTTCTTTCTTCTCTCTTTTGTTATTTTTGCTGCTTTCATTCGACCACCACTCCATTCGTATGTGTGCGCTTCGATTTGCATTTGCCTTTTTGGATGTCGCGCCGATGTAGACGATGGCAACGACGGCCATGGCGGCGGCAACGATGACGACCGTTACAATGTTAATGGTTTTGCTGTTGGTGTGACAAATCTTTGAAAAAGAAGAAGAAAAAATAACAAACGACAGCCCAGGACATATGTTCACGTCAAAATGGATATTTATTTGATATTCTGCCAACTTTTATCACTTTATTCTCTCGTCGTCCACCCTGAAATTTCCATAAAAAGACAAGAGCAAGAGATTGCACAAATGTGCGAAAACTTCGAAACATTTCATATATGTATACATCGGTTTCGTGCTGCAGACGAATAAACATTTGCTTTTAATTTCGTTTCGAGAAACAGAAAAGGCTACGATGAACCGAATATTTTTTCCGTTCTTTGATCCACTTTGTGTTACTTTTTGCAGTAAAGACATATTCTGCCTTCTGGCCATTAACTAGGGTTCTGCTGAAATGATGTTATTTTCATTAGAGCTAGAGCATTAGCTGTGTACGCTGTGAATTCGTTCGACCAGTGTTCGTTTCGGTTGATTTTTGCGCGGAATATGTAATTGCTTTATTTTTCATTAATTTTCATTGCTCTGCCCGTTGAATTAATCTCACTAGCTCTAACGAATTTATGCATACGCATGCACATTTAATTTCACTTGGCTATGAAAGTCATGACGGAATCACTATTTCGACGAACGAATTGCAAACAATTCGTCATTTGCGCCACTTGATATTCTCGGCTCGGTTCACTCTCTTTCTCGCACTGGGAATTTCATTTTTATTCTTGATTTGTGCAAACGTCGCAATTCCACTCCTATTGCTTATCAACCGAAATGTTTTCGTTCACGAATACCAATTTTACGTCACTTTGAGTGGTTTCTTTTTCTTTGCTATGTGATTTTTCAAGAGGCAATTCGAACCGACGCAAAAAAAAACCTTAATTGCCGAACGGCGCGCCTCGTTGTCGATATATTCTTGTGTTGAAGCACGCTACTCAACATGCTCCTATGTAAACAGCTCTTTCTTCTGCTACTCTCCAAACAATATATGATAACAATGAAAGTATTTGTAATCAAAATCTGTGATAATGCATTCGTTTATGCCATGTCTCAATATAAACGAAATCGCTTGCTTGCAACCAAATTCGATATTAAATCCGGATTATTATATTGTCCTCTGCAGAAACAAAAACACACCGCCTATTGTGATGTAATCAAATGCAGAAGCGCAAATAAAATTCGCTATTGAATCGGTAATTGTCAGCACTGGAGTCGTTGAATTTGTTCAGTAAGGGCTTAAGCCCATGCATTCTCATTCGTAAGCAAATAATAGCTTCTGTTTATGCTCTGAAAACGACCATATTTTGTATAAATAAACGACCATGTTTACATGGACGAAGATGAGTATTTATTGGATATCACGTTTTGCTGATGCAATCACATTTCTCCCACAAATAAAACATAACCATATTGTTTTGATGGTCGCGTTATTCGCAGTATTTGTCTTGATGCGACGACTTTATACAACATATTTACAATTCAATCGCTACTTCAATCAGATATTCCATTTCAGTCAACCAAACCACTTCACATTCAAGAATCAAAAAAGAATCGTCTACAAAAGGTAGAGAAATAAAAACTCTTCGCTCAAGTTGTTTCCAATAACATCTCCCTCTCTCTCTTTCTCGAAATGCAAGGTAAGTAGAAGAGTATATATTTTAGGTGTTCTCAATTTCAACAAGTTATGTTAAACTTGGTTCTAGATCCGAATGATAAGAATGACAAAGTTTCTCGCGCTCCGAAGACAACATCCGTTCGAACGCGATCCCAGTGTATGATAGACATCGAAAATGTTCGACGTGAAATCAAGCGACTCGAACGTATCGAAGCTGATTTACGGGCCAAATTGGATGCCAAGTTGGATAAAGTCAAACATTGATTGGCTCTTCAAAAAAGCGATAGTTTGAATGATGTGCCAGCTTATTATATAACGAACACACTTTGTAAAACGTCATACAATTTGTTGCATCAAATAAAAGCTCTTGAAAACACGATTTGTGGCTATTTTCTGAATTCCAAAGGGCGATTGAAAAAGATATGACAAACATCAACAGCTATTGGTATACAACACATAGGTATAATAATAATGTAAACTAACTTGATAGCCGATGAGTGGTTTGTATCCCCCGTGGAAAACATTTTATCTTGAAAAGCAACAGCATTTTTCCGCACTGGACAACGTATGAGGCAAAAAAAGGAGATGGAAATGGTTTGGCATTTGGCTTTTTTTTCGTTGCTTCATTTTTTCACAAATACAGCATTCTGCCTTGGGTCCGTACTTGAGCCATTATCACTTGATTGTTTTGCTAATATTCCGCACAATGAATTTGTATTAAGACCGGTCATCGTTGTCTGCTCCATGCAACTATTTACATTTCGACGGGAACAAAGTGAAAATCAGCCAGCACTTTTCCCTTTTTCTGATTTCAGCATGGTTTTTAGACACTGATAAACATCAAATTTATTAAACCCCTTAAATTTACAAGCTTCAAGAACGCAGAGCGGAGCCAAGCGACGATCTGCGGTCTTGTTTTTTCTCTGTGTTTGCTGTGTTCTTTTTTGTCGTTTTTTCACGCTATTTTGAACGTCTTCATCGATTTTGCTAATGGCATTGAAAAGAATATTCATCACGGCTAATCTCTTGCGAAAGTTTTTACTGCCTTGTTAAATACGAACGCTGAGCGATAAAGTTGATCCGAGTTTTTTGTCAAATGATCCCCGAAAATACGTGTTGCGCCCGGATTTATGACGTCAAACCAAACAAACTTTGTTCTAATTATAATTGATAAGAAGAAAGTTAATTTGATTTTGATTAATTCGATAAGCTCATAGTAAGAAAAACTTCCCAAATAACAACGCAGCTAATGAAGAACCAACCATAGTAGAGAATAAGGCTAGTAGACATATTATAATTTGTGACAAGCAAAAGTCAACATCGTTTTGAATATTAAGTAGACGCAAGTCAATATGCCAGGAAATGGTGCAGTAAAAAAAATAATCGAAACATCCATTGGAACAACAAGCCGATGAACTCATGTTATGGGTCAGTATCTCTATATATATATATATATTTCTGGCAAAATATCTCGAATTCGAGATAATCAAAATTGCTTTATATCAAATGTTTTAACGTAGATCATGGTTATTGTTTGCGGGCAGCATGCGCGATAACATCACCGCAGTATCATGATTCGAAGTTGCAAACTTTTGATATGGAATTCGCCTAATTGTGAGTGACATATACGAGAGATGAAACATAACAGCAATGCCACTGTAGTCTGTGCACACTCGCTTGATTTGAATGATTTCAAACACATCTTGAAAATCAAATCAAATGTAAGTCTTAAATAAAAACTTTGCAAATAAAAAAAAGCGTATAGTATTGTCTATCTCGAAATTCGAGTGCTGCGGCAAGGAGAGAAATCCTTCACGTCTCTAGGGAGGGGGGAGGCATTTATTTCCATCATTACGGGCGGAAAACTTGAGCATGTCATAAAAGAAACTTTTTTTAATACATTCCAAAAACGGTATAAGTATTTCTCGTAAATCATTGCCAGGAATAACACATCGATTTCACCTTAAATGTCAAACGAAATACTTCTCGCTTTCAGCTGATTATCGCTTTACTTTGTTTATGTCCCGTCATATTCCAACGAACTCTCTTTTATTGCAACGTATATATTTTGACTGTGGAGTCGTTGTTGTTGTTGTTGTTGTTGTTTTTATTTACCAATTATTTTGGTGAAAAAAACAAATTACACTGTAATTCGAGCGAAAAGACATGAATCATTGATGAATTCAATAAACAAGTGTAATGTTCGGTCGCGTGTTTGAATAATGAAATAAATAGCTCGGTTGATGCGTGAAAAATACGCCTTAATCGATTGTTAGCCGTTGAACGAACGAACATAAACATTTTTCACTCTTTTTCATTAGCTCTGCCTCAGTTGAAGTAAGCTGAGGGAAATCACATTATATACATTCGATGAACATAATTTATCATCACAAACGGTTTTGGCGTGAACAGCACAAAACTTCCATTCCTCTTTTGCTCTCAGTGCGTATTTTCCGTTTCATTCAAATTCGGGATATTGAATTTGGTGCCGTTGCCGCATTCACATCTCTCTTGCCCTCAAAGTCTGTCGATAAAAGCGTTAGTCATTTAAAACCGCCTTTCAAAAGGCACTCAATCAAACGAAGCGTTTGCATTCATTTTTATTCAGAGTAGTGTAGATTTTGCGAAATAAAAGGAAGTCGAGAGAAAAAAAAGACGGCCGAGAATCCATTTGATCGATTATTCGAAGCGATTTCAAAGAAGAAATTATCAATTTACGATAAAAATGCCAAGTAAGATGCTTTAAGTGAAATTTAAACGGGAGATTTGTTAAATAAAAATGAATTGAAATTTAATAGGTATTAGCGAGAATAAGACATCCGGCCAGAGTGCACGACAAATTCTACAAGAAATCATCCGGGTTCGCAATCAAATCCAAGAACTGAAAAAAACCGAAGCTCGCATGATGGATGATGCTAAAACAGAGAGACGACAATCAAGATGGGATGAAAAGAACCAACCAAGAAGAAGCATGTGATGACAAAATGGAATTTATTGAAGAAAATATTTCTTATTTTATGCGACCGTTACATTGTTGGCAAAACTAACAAAAAACAAAACAGATCTTCAAAAATCTGGGGCAATATCGGTGGTTTTTGTAATCAATAAAAAATAAATATTTTATCAAAAAAAAAAATATGTATGCGTTTTGAACCGTGATGTGTATTTATTTTCTCAACAATCGAAGTTGCAGTTTAAAGAAGATGTTGTATTACTCATTCTTTTCATTCGGTTGTTTATACCATGGGAAATATCAATACGACCACGCTTGCGATTGACGATGATTTATCAGTTTGTTTTCATGAGCTCGGAAAAGAAAATACAAGCGAGCACTCGTCTCATACACCAATATAGCCTAAAGGGAAGAATCGATGCGGGGCATTCGCAACAAATATTTTCCAACAAATCGACTGAGTTTTCGCTGAACAAGCAAATAAAAAATTACTTTTGTAAAATGACGACAAAGCAGAGACTCGATGTAAATAGAAAACAAGTAAGAAAGAAAAAAAGTTGGCACGAAATCAAAATTACACAACATGGACAGGAGTTCTGTATGTTTCTTGCTGGATTCTAGCACTTGCTTTTTATCGCATCGCACCAACCGTATATATTTTTTTACAGAAAGAAGAAAAAAAATTGGAATCGTAATTTTTCATTTCAAATAAAACGACATCAACGAAAAGAAAAACGAATCGTCGGAACTTGAACAATGAATTGTGAGCATTTTGGAAATTGGTTTTTATTGAATGAGTGTAATCGATTACATATTTCGTTTACAGACAACCAACACATCGCCCGATCACAAAAGCGTCTCAACCAAATCCATGAGTTGGAAGAACGAGCCGCTTGCCAATCGCAAACTGAAGATAAAAGTGACACAATGTGCCGAATCAATGAGTTGAAGAGGTCTGAAATCCAATTCAAAGCAAATCTCGAGCAACGGAAGAGTTTTAACGAAATGGAAACGGCAGTGAAACGTTTAAGCGTCAAAAATGACAGTTGAATTTGTGATGAAAATGATTCAAAAACCCAATTTTAAAAATGCACGTGCCGCATCGCATGAAATAAATTGTTGTTTAAATTAATATTCTTGAAATTGTGTTCTAATTATTCGAAGAGATATTATGTCGTGCATAAAACGATATTTTCCATTAAAGACACAGTAGCCACAGCAGAAGCAGTAATTCTTGCCCTGAATTTCTTGGAATGAAATCAAATTTATTCGCCAAAGTGATTTGAATGATAGATTTCAGTGAACCAAACATGCACAATCCGTATGCAATAAGCCAGAGACACATAATTCGTTTCCGTACACAGAAAATCGGCCAAACTGGTCGCTGCCGTCGCCAAATCAAAAGCAATCTAGATTGACGAGATGTTTTCCTTTTTTTTCTTTCGCAACTGCTGACTGAGAACTTCTATTTTGTCATTTGGCCCTTCGAAGCGAAAAAAAGAATGTACAGATAAGATGAAACAAAGGAAACCATCGAGTAGAACGAGGCCGAGCCATAATGCCTCTTGCAGAGGTGTTGTGCATGCGTATACTGGAATTGAGCAGCTCGGCAGAAAAAAAGAGCAGCAAGTGAATCCGATTTGGAGTCGAAAAGGGATGAGAATGTGGCTTGGTAATTTAATATCGTTTCATGAGATTGCCCTGGCTATTCATTTGTACTTTGTGGTTCTGTCTGTTGCTGAGCGCTGAAAAAGCATTTTTTTCTCCTTCTTAGCCCAAAACCAGAAAACGAGTATCAAATAAACCACTGCTTGAAGATGCGACCGAATATGTTGTTGGCGGTTTTTTGAAATTCATAACGATAAACAACGAACGAACAAATTTAGCTTTACTTCACCCTCACTGCGCCCATTGCGAACGTGTTTGTCACTGGACAACGGATGAAATGAAATGATAAAGGCTATGGAAATCGCCGGATAATTCAAGACTTTTTTGGTTGTTCCTTTACCACATTTTTTAATGAGTTTGAAACCAAAGCAAGCACGGCCGAGCGAAATGAGCGAGAGTGAACGAGAGTTGGAGTTGAGCTTGATTGTTATGCTAAACAAAATTGTTCGTATTTTGAATGCGAGAATACCAATTTGTGTGCCTTTTAATCTTTTAGTTTACACTTCAAATCGCGCTAGCCGAACCCAGTCAGCGTTTAAAGCTTGCTCATAAATTACCTCTCCATTTGAATATTTATTCATTTTTATTTTCAACAGGGAAAAAAAAGAGTAAAGTGTGCTTCGCCATCAACTCTTGCTTGTTTGTCTATTTGCATATATATGCATGCGTGGGTTAAAGCATTTTTATTTGAGCTCGAGGGTGCTGGTTTTTTTTTTGGCGAAGCAAGCATGAAAATAGTTGTGTCCACACATAGGTTTGGTCCATTGTATGATTTGAAGAGAGAGAAAACTGAGTATCATACGCTCTTTTCTGCTGTTGAAAAGGTATATATTGAACAGTTCTTCGGTATTTATTTGGTTCGAAAAGGATCTCCAAATATTGTCAACGCGAAAGTGTGAAAAATCCATGAAAACACAGTCTGTTTTGCTTCAAGGGGATTCACAGCCATCATCATCATCGTCATCGCCGTCATCGCCGTCATCGCCGTCATTGCCGTCATCATCATCGTCATTGGCAATCATTGAAGTCATCGTCATTACATCATCAAAATCATTGCAAACAGAACATAAATCCACTCCAATACAAACGCACACAACACTGAGATTGTGAAGAGTGGTGGCGATACGACCAATCTGCGCATATATGTATTGCGCGCAATACCATGTTTTCGTTGTTCCCATACTGAACGCACCGCGCGACTTCTTGCCAACTGACAACACATTTTTTGTTTGATAACAGCCGCTTCTCTTTTATTTCCCCTCCGACCACGCACAAAGGCAAATATTCGCGCTATCTCACACGGCAACATCTAGTCATCCCTGTTGGTTGTGCGGTATTTTTGCAAATAAAAACACCGTATGATGTGCTTTGGCGTTTGGCTGCTTCTTTAATGTGTATGTGTGCAATGATTGCTGCTATTCGCATGTAAATCACACAGCATCCAAGCTTCAGTTCACACACAGACCATTTCTCCCATTTCACATCGATAATTCCATTGCACACAGTAATGACAGTCGCACACAAACATCCATCGGAGTAACCAGCAAAAGCCATTTCATTCGTTTCATTTCGAATGGAATTTCAGAAAAACCATTTACTTTTTTGAGCTTTGTCAAATTGATTTTCCGATGTGAAAGTAGTATCCGTAATTTTGTGTTGAACTAATTAAAAACAAAAACGCCCGCCGAAACGAATTTCGTTAAAATGGTGCAAGTTTCACCGATATTTTTCCATTTATTTTTCATTGCAAATTTTTTGTGCTCAGTCAATTGTCTTCCCGACATCATTCGCATTGGTGAGTGTATCCTCTTGTGGTTGCTCTTGTTGTCGTGCGTCTGTAGCAACGCGCATCATTATTCTCTCGACCATAAAATTCATATATTCGAATGGATGCCGCAAGGAGAAAAAACGAGAGAGAAAAATAATTGATAATCCAATTTGTATCATGTGTTTTGCATATCTAATCAGGTGGTATATTCCATAATGGTGACATTGATCAAGAGCTTGCTTTTCGATATGCCGTCGAGAAAATTAATTTAGACAAAACCGTATTGCCACGCTCCAAGCTATCCGCACAAATTGAGCGCGTTTCGTCGGAAGACAGTTTTCATGCATCGAAACGAGGTACTATAACAATCAATTAATTTATTAATCATGTTTGAATTAGAATTCAAAAAAAAAATCTCTTTCTTTGTGTTTGGTTTGTGATTGGATTGTAGTTTGTCACTTGTTGCGAATGGGCGTTAGCTCGATTTTTGGCCCACAATCCAATCCCATTTCGAACCATGTCCAGAGCATTTGTGATACCATGGAAATTCCACATTTGGAAATGCGTTGGGACTATTCGCATCGACGTGAAAATTGTCTTGTCAATCTCTATCCACATCCGAGTGTTTTATCACGGGTAATTTGAATGACAATAGATTGAAAATTACACAATAAGTGCACTAGATAGGATTGTCGCTGTTTTCCATTCAATTTACATTTAAATAGGCCTATGTAGATATTGTTGATGCTTGGGGATGGAAACACTATACAATAATTTATGAGACAAATGATGGCCTCTTACGATTGCAAGAGCTTCTAAAAGCCCACCGGCGTAGCGACCATCCAACAACCGTTCGACAGCTTCCCGATACGAATGATTATAGGTAGCCGTGTAATGAGATTTAAACAAAATAAACAAAATAATAATGACAACGGATAATTCAATCAAAGCGGATTTTTCATTCCAGGCCAATGCTGAAGCAAATCAAAAATTCCGGCGTTGCGCACATCGTTCTCGACTGTAGCACCGAGAAGGTTTATGATGTTCTCAAGCAATCGCAACAAATTGGCATGATGAGCGACTATCATTCTTATTTAATAACATCACTGGTATGCTATTAGAATTGGATGCACGGAATCAGACCGGTTTTTTGAGTCGAGTTTTTTGTAACGTTTCTCACTTGATCGTAATTTTTTGTTTTTCATCATATTCTTGTTCATTAGGACCTGCAAACGATTGATTTAGATGAGTTCAAATATAGCGGCACTAATATCACTGCATTCCGCCTGGTCGATCCCGACAATCCAACCGTGCGTAAAACTGTAGCAGAATGGTCGCAATCGGAATTGAGGTCAGACAAAAAGCCGAATGAACGTGCTTTCCAAGTAAGTTGCCAATTAACTATGGTTTTTAGCGTCAGATTTTAACAAACTTTTTCCACTTTGTACCCTTTTTTCTACAGCGAAATGACACTGTAATAAAAGCGGAGACAGCATTGATTTATGATGCGGTGCATCTTTTTTCGAAAGCACTGCATGATCTAGACACGAGCCAACAAATTGATATCCAACCACTTTCATGCGATGGGCAAGATACATGGCCACATGGATACAGTTTAATCAACTACATGAAAATCGTACGTGCCAAACGTTTTCCCCATTTTTGCTATTTGCGTTGTCATGTCCCTTTTTCCATCATTTTCTCTGTTTTTGCTATGTCCTTTTTTTATTTTTCGAACAATTGTCACATATTTGTTTTTTTTTTTAAAACGGGTTTCAGGTGGAAATGAAAGGCCTAACGAATGTAATTAAGTTCGATAATCAAGGATTTCGAACCGATTTCGTTTTGGATATCATCGAATTGAGCCCGAGTGGAATACGGAAAATTGGTGACTGGAATTCAACTCAAGGGGTTAACTTCACTAGATCGTTCAAGGAACAAGTACAAGATATGGTGGAAAACTTGAAGAATAAAACACTGGTTGTTACGGCACTTTTGGTATGTTTAACAAGGTTATCCCTGAAGATTTGTGTTGGAATATTCAGATTTTATTCAAATAATTTGAAAAAAAAACGAATGTTTTGATTTCCAGAGCGACCCCTATGTGATGAGGAAGGATTCTGCGGCTAAGCTGACTGGCAATAATCAATTTGAAGGCTATGCCATTGATTTGATACGTGAGATATCGATGATACTCGGTTTCAATTTCACATTTCGCTTGGTACCAGATGGACGATACGGTAGTTTGAATAAGCTAACCGGTGAATGGGATGGAATGGTTCGAGAGTTACTGGAACAGCGAGCAGATTTGGCTATTGGAGATTTGACCATTACATACGAACGAGAACACGTTGTTGACTTTACAATGCCGTTTATGAACTTGGGCATTTCCGTACTTTACCGAAAACCAGTTAAACAACCACCGAATTTGTTTTCATTTTTGTCACCACTTTCTTTGGGTAGGCTCCGATTCAACTCTTTTGATATAATTTTCATTAGGAAAAAATTTATGCAGAATTTTCATTTTTCTCTCATTACAGATGTTTGGATTTACATGGCAACAGCTTATTTGGGTGTTTCCGTGTTGCTGTTCATTCTAGCTCGATTTACGCCTTACGAATGGTCTAACACTCAACATCCAGACAAGGGCGAGACTCAATTCACATTGATGAATTGTATGTGGTTTGCCATCGGCTCACTTATGCAGCAAGGATGCGACTTTTTACCAAAGTACGAGCTAGAATCTATTTGTAACTGGTTTCAAATATCATTTTCTTTTCATTGAACACCAATTTGAATTACAGAGCGGTTTCAACACGAATGGTGGCTGGAATGTGGTGGTTCTTCACATTGATTATGATATCCTCGTACACGGCCAATTTGGCTGCCTTTCTCACGGTTTTTGCTATGTTCATTTTTTTAGTTTTCTTCTGATTCGAACAATTTTTACATTTTTGTTTAAAACAAAATGGTTTCAGGTCGAACGAATGGATTCGCCAATTGAAAGTGCCGAAGATTTGGCAAAACAGACCAAGATTAAATACGGTGTTCTCAATGGCGGTTCAACTGCATCATTCTTCCGGAATTCAAACTTTTCGACATATCAACGCATGTGGTCGTTTATGGAATCATGCAAGCCAAGTGTTTTTGCAGCAAGCAATACTGAAGGTGTTGAACGTGTTACGAAAGGAAAAGGTACATTTTTTATTGTTTATTTTCAACTCAAATTACGATTGATTCAGGTAATATTATGCTTAATTTCCTTTGTTTAAATTTCAGGCTCCTACGCCTTTCTGATGGAATCAACCTCGATTGAGTATGTCATCGAGCGCAATTGTGAATTGACTCAAATTGGCGGTATGCTCGATTCAAAGGGATATGGCATTGCGATGAGACAAAGTAAGCAGTCAAATAACAATATTTTTTGAAATTGGTTTCAATCATCGAAATTTACTTGTTCATTCAAATTCAATGTATGTCATTCATTAAAAACAAATACTGTACCTTCAAGACTCACCATATCGAACGATGATCAATGGAGCCGTTCTCAAGCTACAAGAGATGGGAAAATTGCACATTCTTAAGACTCGTTGGTGGAAAGAGAAACGCGGGGGCGGTTCTTGTCGCGTAAGAATTGAAATTTATTGCATTTCATTAATTTTAAAAAAATAAATGGATTAAAAAAAATCATCAATAATTTGAAGGACGACACATCAAAATCGAGTTCAACTGCAAACGAATTGGGTCTGGCAAATGTTGGTGGTGTGTTTGTAGTATTGATGGGTGGCATGGGGGTAGCTTGCGTCATTGCTGTGTGTGAATTTGTTTGGAAATCACGAAAGGTGGCCACGGAAGAGCGAGTCATCCAAATGCAATGTTACTAAATCTGAGGTTCGCGTAGCATCGTAGCAACAACATCAAAATCCATTCCAAAATGGAATTTCGTTCTTTTCTACAAACAGGTCCAACATTGTTAAACGCTTAAGCAGCATCGAATTAGGAGTTTAAATTACAGCCCGACTAAATGCAGCTTAATTTAACATTCGACAAGACATTTTTAAAATAAACATTAATGATAAATTTCAACTAGATAATATTGTACGTAATATAAATGTGGCGACGATATCGATCTTAAGAAAAATATACTGTGTTTTTTTTCTCCTGGTGAGATTAATTGCAACTGGTGGTGTGAAATTAGTGTGTAAGGCCATTTGAATGACCATTTGCTTGTACTCCATTTGTTCCGATTGCTGAAATGCTGCCATCGAAAACCGTTTTCGCAACAGGTGCTCCGACTGTGTTGGCTAATTTTGAGTCGTCTGTAATGAAATTCAACCAATCGAGGTGTGTTACGACGCCAATTGGACGATCGGCTTCATCAACAACAGCAGCAAATTCGTCGGTCTCCAGAATTCGCGACACCAAACCCAACACGGTATCTTTTGCTACGCGACGGAATTGCTTGAAAAGAGCTTTATCAATTGGGTTAGCGAGCTGGTAGTTTTGACTCACAACCTTTTTCGTTAGGTGTTTTAGAGCGAGGAAACCTTCCAATTTTCTACGAATTGAAGAGAAAGTAAAAATGAGTGAAAATTGAAATAAAATCAATAAACCACAATATATGGTCCATTCAATCGGCCTAAAAAATTTATTCCATTCACTCACCCTTCACTATTTACAACCGGTGCCCGATCCAATCCGTTCGATTTCAAAAACTTGATAGCCTCTTTGGCACTTGTGCCTAATTCGATTGATTGAGTCGGTTGTATGGCGAGCTCGGTGACTTTGTGATTCCACCACCAGTGATTGTGTTCGTTAACAATTTCCTTAAATCCTCTGGCTTCCATCCAGTTGTCGGTGACGAATTTAGTCATATAATTTCTGATTCCGTCTGGCAAAATAACGACACATTTCTGTCCTTCTTTCAAATCCTTGGCCGCCTTGAAGGCTCCGCAAAGTGCAGCTCCACTGCTGCCACCGGACAAAATACCTTCTTCACGGATCAAATGACGAATCATTGTGAAAGAGGTTTTATCATTCGTCTATCATTGAAATGGAATGGAATGGAAATGAAAAGAAAATGATTCAGTGCACACAATTCATTTTAGACGAATATTGGTATTGGCCAGAATGAAAATGTACCTTGATCCAACGATCGACGTGCTCGCGATGCAATACTTCTGGAATAAAATCGTAACCAAGACCTTCAACCTGTTGAATGAAAAGAGAGTTGCTTAATACGTTTATATGAACATTTAATTCATATATGGAGAAACATTGAATTCAAATTTAGGTAAGAAAATTTTTTTATCAAAAAGTTTTCAAGAAAAATTGCGCCAATGTCGAAGGAAATTACCTCATAGAAAGTCACATCGCTTTCGTTGAGCGTCTCGGGTAATGCAAGAATTGAGCCAAATGGATCGATACCAACAATGACAGCATCTGGGTTATGTTCTTTGATTTTGTAGCTGATACCTGTAATTGAGCCTCCAGTGCCAGCGCCGACCACAACCATATCAACTTTTCCATCGGTTTGTTGGACAATCTCTTCGGCAGTTGAATCGTAGTGTGCACAAGGATTGCTAAAGGGATCAAATGTGGCCCACAATGTGGGCCCCACATGGATTAAATTTGGCAGGAGCAATTTGGAGTATTTAGTGGAATCGAAAAAGAAAATAAATTACCCTGGATTTCCATATTGGTCCAAAATAACGGAATCCGGAATGTCCTTGTTCAATTGCTTAGCCACTTCAATCAAACCATCTGGATCATCGTGAGCTGCTTCTGTTCGTGTACGAATGATTCGAGCACCGAGAATCTTCAGTGTAGCCACTTTTTCGTCGGACATTTTCTCTGGCATAACAATAATACATTTGTAGCCTTTAACAGCACATGCCATGGCCAAACCGATGCCAGTGTTTCCTGATGTTGGCTCAATAATTGTGCAGCCTGGCTTCAATCGACCTTGTTCCTCGGCATCTTCCACCATACGGAAACCAATTCGATCCTTGATCGAACCGCCCGGATTGAAGAATTCCACTTTCACGTCTGGAAAATTGACGAAAAATGAAACCAAATTAAAATAAAATCATTATCAAATCCAATGTGCTTAAATGTAAAAAGTTAAATACAGAGAAAACTGATATATTATATACCACATATCACATATAACGAAGAACAAAATAGAAATCCACTCACAAACATCGCATTTCAGTCCGAACTCCTTTGGAAGTTTATTCAATTTCACAAGTGGGGTACTTCCGATAGCGTGCAAAATATTCGGGTACACTCTCTTTTCATTTCCGCTGTAAAAAAATTAAACAAAACGAACTTCGCATTATCCATACTGTTCTTTATCGTATATTCATTCAGGCAAATACGGTAAAAAGCGAATCAATTAATAGCGAGGCGTTATGGTTGACTCTCATTAGTGTTATTATTAGTGTTTGATTATCAATGCGAGCAATGATTAGCCATATTTTTCCAGCATATATTTTGATGAAATCGAACGTGACTGTTGTTGTTTTTTGTTCAAACCAAATTAATCGCACGAGATTACACCTATAACCTTACTCATCGGACTAGCAAAACAGTCGATTTTGATTGTTTTCATTATGAATTTTATTCAAAAATAAATTTAATTTTTCGCACGTTCAACTTCTGTATTTTTACCAAGGAGCAAGAATTGTGATCGTCTAAATATCAACTATGAAGCTAACAAAAAGAAGAAAAAAACCGAAAACCGAAGCCCGTGCATATAGTATTTGAAACGAAAAGTCTAGAGTGGAAAGCAGAAGATAAATCAAAGGTTAGCGTTTAAAAAAGTGATTAAATTTGAATTGAGATTCGGCAACCAGGAATGTTGCGTTATAATATATTAGTGGGATTTTAAAAGCACGATTTTTGCAACAAATCATGAAGCGGTCGCATAACTTTTCGTTCAAACTGAATTATAAATTGGCGCGACACAGATTTCAATGTGCATTATTTTGAAAATTCCACTATCAATCACGACCCCAAAAACCAGCATATTTTTCAAAAACACGAAATTTCCATGCAAAAAATATCATTTTCGATTTCTGTTTTGTTCACATGGCTTTTTTTTTAAATCACGTTATCGTCTCATTCCATACGAAACGGTTTGTGAATGAAGAAAAAAATTGAACTGTGTATCAACTTACTGAGTGCGATGAGTGTGCCTTTTCCAGTTAGCAAATGAACATGAATCTTCTTCACACAATTGTCCGTATTGATTCAAGTTTTTAGACATTTTGTTGATTCAGCTGCCTGGAATTAGAGTCAGAAATTAGAATAAACGGGAACAGATATGGCAATAAATTGGAATAATCCAATTTCGTGGAGGATTTGCAAAAAAAAAATCACACATCTAGACTGTTATTTGAAGCTGTTTCCAAATCGTTATAAAATATCAACAGATGCAACAATGTAATCTTAATCATCCATTTGGTATTTGGAATGAATGTTGGAAATACGTTTTATACGCATGTCTTCACGCGAAACGTCAAAAGCATGCGAAACTTCGCTGTTGTACACTTCCAATAACAAAAACCGACAAGAAACGTGGATTGCTGGAAAGGTGTGTCCATAAGCAGTCTTTTGTTATAACAGCAATTCATTGATGTGTTTGGTTTCATGAGATGAAATGATAATGAATTGAAATGAGAACATTGACCTTAGCAGCCGAATGCTCAAGCATGTAGAAATGAAAGATCGGAGCAATTTCTTTTTTTTCTGAAACACGTAAATATGCGCTTATGTTTTTTCTTCTCGATGTGTGGGAAGTGTCAACACGTATGCCAACCACAATTGTCAAACAAGCGATTTGATGCAAAAAAAAGTTTGTTAGATAAATATAACGAATTTTCCGTAATAAACAACTATGGGTTATTTTCCATAACGAAAATGCGCAACTACTTTCAATTAGCTATTACGTCCTAGAAACGATGGCGAAAACCGGTTTTTGCGTATTTAGAAAGACATATGAATGGAATAAATACATATCAAACACCACGGTGAAATAATAGAATAGCAAAATCATCAAATTCAATTTGATTCATTTTTATATGATACATCGGCGTTTCAATTTACACGACAACGGTTGCTCTTTTTTCTTCTAATCTATTTATATGTTCCAAATTAATTCGCACGGAACACACAGTGCATCGAAAGAATTTCTTCTCTCTGAATATGAACAGAAGTGGACAAGAAAAAACGAAAGATGAAAAGAAAATCGCGAGAAAGACACAATTTATGGCCACTAGTAACTTCAAAACACTTACTTTGTACATCAAAGTTGTTAATTTATGATGAATTCAAACAAGATGAAAAAAAAAATGCACAAGAATTTACAGTCGCAATGTTTCACACGTTTTTGTTTTATTTAGCAAAACTACGTCGTTTGTCAGTGAATTGAAGAAGAATGATTGCTTCTTTAAATCAAAATGGATTTGATTTCTCAACTTGGATTTTTATTGGTTTGGAATTTTGTATGTACGTCTACTTTGAACGACAGTTCATTCTCAAGTGATACTTTTTCATCTTTCACAGTCGAATTACTTTTTTATATGCACGGCTCTATGTATATGCATTTATGCGGTATACACACAACAAATACATGCACAGTTCGTAGTAGCAAGCCGCTTATGTGTTCTCGACTATTTAAACAGCAAACTGTTTTACATCGTGTCTTGTGTTCACCGTCTCACTCTTTCCATTCAATCGTCTTGGATATACTAGTAGCTACATACTATAGTATGTAGTTCGGTGGGCTGGTGAACGCATGCTTTCGCTTGTATTTTTAGCTCGTTGTGACTTTCGGCCATGCGTTAGACTACACATTCCCTGCATTTACTGATAAGGTTTTGGGCATTAAATCGGTATATATGTTTGTAAGTCGGTGGGCATTTCGCCGAGCGCCATTGTTATACTTGATAATATGTTTCACATAGGTCATGGTTATCGGTACGAGATACAATGATTTTGATCAAGAAATTTGCAACACGTTCATTTTTTGTCGGCTGTCTTCAACATATTTTCTTGGGCGAATTGTATGGAATTATGTTTGTATTTATTTTGGTTTTAATCTAAATCAATTGTTGCAGTAGCTTACGATGAGGGAATATTTGAATATTTTCTGAAGAAAAAAAATAAGTTTCATTTAGAATAATGAAGCCATGAAATAACAAATGGTAGATAACACATTTAGCCTCTGGAATGTACAAACCGCTTATAAAGAAAAGAATCCGCATCGGAACGCAGATGATTACACACAACTTCCAATAGATGGCGCTGGAGGATGGATTTGATAAACGAACCAAATTCAAAAGGGTTTCATCATTTGATTGCAATAGAAGCATTTTGCCTTTAAATTTCAATAGAAATTATTAATTTAAATAATAGAATAAAATAAACAATGAAAGAACAATTGAAAAAGACGAGAAAAAAAGCCAATTTTCTTTACATTCAATTTGTTATTAATGTTTTAATCAAAATAAATATTTGATACATTCAATGGCTTTGCCTATCTAATAAGTAAGTAGAATTCACATACAAAAATACAGAGAGTGGTAAAAATGTCCCCCCATACAAATATACATATATATATATATAATTTAAATATTGTACAGAATTCCTATCGAAGCGATTGAAATTGGTTTGTCGATTTGTTAAAACTGCCTAAATTTTATTCTTGACAAAAATGTAAAATTTGTGCCATTTTGTGCTAGTAGTTTTTGTCATTTTGTTTTGTTGTTCGCACTGTCATGAGTGTAACTTAACTGAATCATTGGTGTGTCAATAAGCTATGTCACTGGTAAATTGATAAGTATATTACAAATAAGTCGATTCGCTGTTGCTGTTCGTACTTTGATTCATGCTACTATTTTTGGCGTCCTTAAAGAGCCGGTTCCAGCCATCGGAAATAGTGTCCGTCGGTCTGACTTTGATATTGAAAATTTTTAGGGCTGTAATCACACGGTCGGGTATCAATGCGGCAAAGCAAATCAGCACATTATACACCCAAAATTCATATGAAAACACCAGATGATTGTAAACATTATATAATGATCCCGGCAATGGCAGCAAATTAAACACGATCGTCGATGACATAAATGCAAAAATTGATAGAAACACAGCTAGAGCGAATATAATTGTTCGGTAGCGTGAAATAAGCCACAGTTTTATTGTGACCACAAATACCACGTTGTGAATCATGAAGGCACCAAACGAATCGAGATCATTTGTTTTCATATTGTTTTCCATCCAAAATGCATAACCGATGAAGTATACGACCATCGAATGAAACACGGCCAATGTGATCCAGGCCAAGAAATATTTCCATGTGATACGCTTATTGCCACTGTTTTCCATGTACAACGATGGATTTTTCAGCAGCTGATCCTCACGATATGGTTTCTCTGTGATTGACAGCAGTAAAATCGGCATCGATGTGTACATCACATTGTAAAATGTTAGAAATATGCTGGCGTAGATGGTTTGTGCGGAGAATTGGTTGTGTAGTTGGAAGTATACCTGCAATTTTTGGAACAGATTTCATTAAATTTAGTTTTTCGTGACTTTTTTATTGGAAATTTTCAAAATTTTTCGGCAAAATGATAAAATTGGACATAATTCAGATCTACAACATTATTGAACTTTTTAAACTTATTGAGCTCTCACCTGGATAAGCATGAACACGAGGTTTTTATAGAAGAAATACAGGACCAGTATGGAAAATCGATAGGAAAAGAAGTGACCATGAACAAGAAGTATTTTTTTGAGCATGTAAAAATTTGTGAACGAATAATCGGAGCAGAGAGCTGCTTGTCGTCCTTCTTTGCCCAAAATTCCCAAGCCAACATGCGCTTCACGTATCATTGACACATCGTTTGCACCGTCGCCAATCGCAGCTGTGACCGGTGAATTGGGTAGCGTTTTCATTAATTTGACCACTTGACACTTTTGCAACGGACTTAGGCGGCAACACAGAACCGCTTGGCATTTCATCGCCAAATCACGGAATCGTTCTGGACAATGTTTCATTAAAAGACTTAAACTCGCTCCATCGACAAGCAATGAATAGGGACGATATGGGAACAACTGTTTGGGTTCAAATGAAAAATTTTATGAAATCATCGAATTGAAGTGTACGCAATTCCAGTTTAAATAGCGAATAAGTCGATTGAAAAACGGAAAACTTCCGTTATGAAGGATGTGTAACTTCTTTTCACTTACAATCAACTGGTCATCGAGCATATCCATGTGTTGATTGATCTGATACTCTTCTTTACATTCGGTTATCATGAATGTTTCCGTACTGTCCGGAATTTGGCCACACGATCTCGCGATATTTAAAGCAGTTTCAATTTTATCTCCGGTTAAAACCCAAACTATGATACCCGCATACCGGAGTGACTCAATCGTATCTTTGACTTTATCCTGCAGTGCATCCTCTACAGCTGTAGCACCAAGCAACTCTAAATCTGTCAACGAAAAAAACAAATGGATTAAATATTGTAGGAAAATTAAGAGTGATTTAACTTACTATTTTCGATTTTGGCTTGTACTTGTTCGACCTGCGTTTTTCGATTGGCCAGTGCATTGCTCGCATTTGTAATATCTGGAAAAAAGTAATTCACGATAAACTTAGATACATTGAGAAATTCCAAATTTAAAATGATCTTCACTTACCAATATCGAATTGGTTATACTCCTCTAATGTCAATTTTCGCCGAGCAACCGCTAATGTTCTCAAGCCAACCTTAGCAAAATCATCAATATGTTGTTGTGTTAGTTTCATTAGGTTTTGTTGTGACGATGTGTTCAAACACAGCGGAAACACGTGACTTTCAGCACCTTTTGTATACAACCAAATATCACCCTTGCCATCTTTAATAATTGTACTCATTCGTTTGCGATCTGAAGTAAACTCCAGTGTATACAGTCTTTCTACGTTGATTTCGTTGGTCGACAATCCTTTTGTTGGCTACACAAAACAAACGAAACATATTAGTCAATTGATCGATTTGCGATGAGAGTTTATTCTTCTTCTTACCCTTTGACTTTGGAGCTTTATGTTGAGGTATCCGCCTTTTTCACCAGTAAATATGTAACCAACTTTAGCGCATCCTTCAACTAATGCCTTTTCATCTGGGCTTGATGCTTGGTAATCGAATTGTCTAAATGAAAAGAAAACCGAATCAATAGCAACAAACGACTGTCAATTGAGTGTGACAAAAGTGAAAAAGTGATCCTTACGCAGTCACACTCCCAATGGAATGGGTGGATAGCCGCATTGACTCTTGTCGTTCCAACAAAGAGGCTTCGTTGTAGGCGGGTGCCGCATAGAATTCACGCGTATTGGCAATATTGGTTGAGCTCCGATTATAAATACTCTTGCGAAGTTCATTCTTTCCCGTGAATTGATTTACTTGGTTTTGCGGTACATTCAACGACTGCGTTCGACGATGGCCAAACGTTATACGCTCTTGTGGCCCTCCCACTTTCGTGGACAATGTTCGTTTGTACTCCAGTCTCTCTGGTCGGAATGGGAACGGAGGTTCAACAGTCAATGGCGATGGTATTTTTGGTGCAAAATCCCGTGCACCCACTGGGAAATTGGCAAGAATTGCAATTTTGTTCTCTTTGCTGAAGCTTATTTTGCGAATGCCACTCGATGCACTTGCCACTCGACGATGCTCTCGCCGAACTGAAAATTGAAAAGTATCATTAATTTTGATTCTGAATCGAAAAATTCCGTTTGGAAAATCGAAAAACTCACGTTGAACAGCTGGCATATTCTCAAGCGGATTGCTAGGTAAGCAAACTTCATTTTGCTTAGTATTTTGTTCGGTTTCTGCTTTTCTTTTCACATCCTCTTCGATTTCCACCAATGAACCGGACGACTCAACCATTTCAAAAGATCCTTTCATCTCGGCATCGTCAGCTTCGGAGACTTTCTCCAGTTTTGCCACTTGCACCGTGTGACACGTCGTTAGAGTTTGAAAAAAGTTTCGCATATACGGATCATATTGTGGTAAACGCATAATACTCGAGCTATTCTCTTCACGCAAACCGAAATTTTGGATCTTATATTTTTTGCCATTGATTGAGCATTGCTGTAAAATCATCTCGTTTTTCGTTAACGTGCCTGTTTTATCTGAGAATAAAATTTTCACCTGAAAATAAAGACCAATTATTGAGTTGAAAAGTAAAATGAAAGTAAGGTTTTTTTTGTTTTAAGCCATACCTGTCCCAACTCATCGTTCAAATTCGATGTATTCACAAGGCACTGCTGATTCATTTCAACATCGTACAAATCCAAATCCCATTCCTAGAAAATTCCACCCAATATTAAAAGAACGCAATGAAGAAACCAAACAAGACAAATTTACCAAAAACAATGAGCCAAGGAATTTATGCATCTCAATGGTCACATACAGTGATATCGGTATTAAATAGTTGAATAGAATTAAAAACGACAAAAAGTCTCCTATATATTTATAAAGGAGATCCTTTGTTTTCGGATCACCCAAATACACATTATGATCTATCATCTTACTGTCATAATAGCTGAAAGAGAAAATTCGTTATTTTTTTTTAATGGTGAATGAAAATTCTACACTTTTTTCTATAGGCTCAATCAAAACTCTGAAAAAACTTACATTTTCATTCCACAGCATGAGGCAACTAGAGTTATCATGACGAGCACGAACAAAATCAAAAATTGATCAATGAATCGTTCGCTGGAGCTATTTTTTGACCGAAAAACTTTTCCGTTCAGTGCAAGTTTTGTATTCTGACCACAATACACCGCACAGCCGATAGCCCATTCGGTGTTTTTAATACGTGAACCACGCAATAGCAAATGATCAGCGGTCAGTGGCAGAGTTCGTCGGTGTCTTCGTAATGTATCGCTAAATGTAGGCTCATGATGTTGACGCCAAAAAAATGTTGGCCCAATTTCTAATCTACCATTAAATGTATATAAATCGGCCAGCGGTTGATCACACTCAATCGAACCGATATCATGAAGTTTTTCTGTAATTAAACAACAAAAACTGGTTATTTTTCAATAAATTCATAAGCAACAAGTAAAGAGTATAGAAGATAAGATAAATTGATGTTGATTGATGCAAATAGCAACATTTGAAAACATACCAATGGAAACATCGTTAGGAAACCCTTTCGGTACGAACAGTGCCTTCAAATTGGTTTCACCGTCTAAATTTGCAGTCGTCACATAGCACTTGCCATCTGGATCGGATGTTTTCAACAGTACTAAATCACATGGAACATCGCAGTCTCTGGACGCTTTAACCAGATCGCCTCGCAATATATCTTCGCACTTAATGTCTATTTCGACACCATTTCGAATGACGGTTGCTGCAACAACATTAGAATTGTTGACACATTCGATTGTTTGAACAAATATTTCAATTTTTTTTTTTTCGAACTTTATTTTCATAAAATCAGTGCAAATATTTGCTAATAACAATGAGCATACCATAAGATCTGTTGACAAGGTTATCGGCTTTGTGACGTAAATAGTCTTCATACCCTTGTTTAATCGCCGTTACACTTATTACAAATACTAGCGGAAGCAATGACGTCCATATCGATACGGGGCTATCGCCAAATCTATCTGGAAATGGCACATAAAACACACACAAAAATTGAATAAATACCAATTTAAATCTAGATGGTTGAAACAAGGGTTATTAATATCATTTGATTATGTGCTACTGATTAGCATCCAATCGTTATTTATATGGTTCAGCGTTAAATCGTCTACTAGGTCGAATGTAATTGGATATTGTTGGCGCATTTATTTCTAATCGACAAAAGGTTTTTTTCTATTCGAAAACAATTCGCAAATATTCTAATTGAAAAATGTTTCGCAAAACGCGAATTTTATGTGTAAACAATGAAAAATAGCTTTTAGACTTTTGGGGCTATGGTTTTTCCATTCAACGAATTCCATGAATAATAATAAACAATGCGAGGCGATCGTTAAAAATGATGATAATAGTATTGAGTCGGTTCCGATTGGGTAACATTTAATGTGCTGTGTGTGCGTCAACAATTTACAGAAAAAAGCACATGTGATATTTAATTGTATTGCTCGTCCAGCTAATAGGGAGAAAGAAATGAAACGATAACGTCTGCGATGAAATGTAAGCGTGTGAGACGAAAAATTGCTAGCTAGAACAATCATGTGGCAAAATCGAACAAAAGTGCCGATTTGTTGAGCAAACGAAACGCGTATAATTGAATGATTATTTCAACGCGGGTGCACGCTAGCACACATATTTGTTTTCCAATGTTAGACTCATGTTAAAAATAGACATTTTTTGTGAATGAGACGTTTTTTTCTTTCAATTTTTTGTTGTTTTCGATCGGAATATACGGTGTAGCGTTTTCTGTTTGTACTGCCCAAGCCCAGTATATCGGTCACGTACTTAAGCGCATACTTATTCGTGCGCTCTCTCTCTCTCTCTCTGACTCAAGTAAACAATGTGCTAGCTCATTGTTAAATTTCATACTATTCAATTAAGCACATTGCAATGCACACACAAACAAATGACATATCAAGCGATTCTCTTCAAGCTCACGATTCTAATTACAGGCATTAGTCATATACTTATAATAATATATAAATTTTATATATTACTTTTTCTCCTCCATACAATGCGTTATCTTTTCGTTCTTCTTCTTCTTCTTTCTTTTCGCTTTTTTCACTCTGTTGTTTCCGTTGGTATGTGGTTATCGCTAGCGAAACGCTACTTTTACAATCTCAGAGAGCAAATCAAGGCATACAGCATGATTCATATTCTGCTGCCGCTATGAAATATCAAGCATGAAATTATTTTTGGTCATTTTTATATGATTTTTGAAATACTTCATGTATGCGGAATAACAGCAACGGTAAATTGTAATGAGGTTATAAATATATATGTGTATTGAAAAGGTGTGAACTTATTTTGTTATTAAATGGTTGTGATATCGCCAAGCGATTTATCGAACCTTTGGCTACGAATGAAAAGTATTTAACATGATTTTTTAATGCCATATGTAGCACAGCTAGATGCTAATTCATTTGACATTGAACTCTTTCTCTCACTTAAGTAAAATTCACACAGAAACACACACATTCCACACTAATTTGAATTCTCAATTTCAACTTGTTGATTTTTTTTCTTCTTCGCCTATTGATCTAGAGTGTGCTCTACAAATTGTAAAATGTCAAAATCGACTTGATATTTGCATACATTAATGACAGACATTACCATTTTTAGAAACTCAAACAATGACTTAAACGTCTCATTCAACGCAAAGATGATCAAGTTCTTGGTTTTTTTTTCTAAAATTCGCATGTGATTTTTGTGTACACACTCAAACACATACTTACCAATCACACTTGCAAGCGTGGTCATAATTAAAAAGTAGAAATTGGCGATTCGCTTGAATTGCTCATACAAATTCTTTGGTAGAAATGTTATGAGGGTGTCTGAAATGAAAATCGATATCGTTAGAATTGTCTGGGTGTGGGGCGATGTGTTGCTGATTTTTTCTGTAAATACTAACAATTGGTAGATTTAACACGGTTGTTGGCAATGGGCCGTTTTGCTTTCTTATTTCGGATGCTCGGTCTGAAGAAACTGCCCTTGCTTTTGGTCGACGGCGGCGATGATGACGACGTTGTCGTCGTCGTTGTTGTTGTTGTTGTTGTGGATGATGTCGCTCTCTTTTCCGTTGCCACATTTCCATCATTATCACAGTCATCAATACTACCTATTCTAATTGCTATTGAATCACTTTCCGTTGACACTCGGTTGCCCTAAACGAACGAACGAGAAAAATACATAGACATGAATTCAATACACGCCAGCCAAATTGCATTCATTTTTCAAATGTTTTGATTGAATTTGCACAAGTGGTTCGCTTTTTTTCTACTCGCACTTTTCATATTCTGAGATTCAGATACGATGAAATGATCGAACACACGCGAAAATATAAACGAAGCACCTGTTTTTGATGCTCGTTTGCGTTAAATCAAACGAAATGTTTTTCATTGGCAACAATGCGATATTTTGCACGAGCCATTTTTCATTTTTGGGATGAGAGCGGTTCGCATTTTCATTATCGGAATTTGATATCAAGTACAGAAATGATAAAAAAATATCGACGTCATTACGATGGCAACGAGAAAATTGCATATTCAATGAATAAAAAGATGATAAATCCGATCAAATTGTGCACGTTAAGCACGAACGAAATGAAAAAAATAAAGACGATTCGCACAAAGCGCATTTAAACAGTTGGTTTTTTGAATTAAGAAATCACATGGCGGAGTCCCACAGGCCTTCAATTTTGTTGGTTCTTATCGATATTTTGTATCGTCTTGTGTCTCAGCTGGTTTCCTTATTATAAATTCATCATTCGATAAAAAAAAAAAAAATTATGAACAAAACACAAAATGAATACGAACGCCGTTTTGTGTTCAACCAGAAATGTTCGCTTTGATTTATATAATATAATATAATATATATTTTTTGCACCGCAATTTTGCTACCATGTGAACGGCATAAGAATTGAGTTTTGGTCGAGTACATACACATTTACATCGAACCAAATTGATTTTTATCGCAATTTTTTTCACAGTTCAATAAACACTTCGTCGTCTTTGAACACGGAACACAAATGGACAATTTCGACAGCGCAATTGACGTAGTTCTCTGTCGATGTTTATTCTATAAAACATCGCGAAGCACCTCAAGATGTTCCTTCAAAAAAAAACTTGATTTGTTTATTTAGTTTTTTCGTCTATTTCGTGGATGGCACACACGGAGTAAATGAACTCTGTTTTTTTTCTGTCTTCATTCTTGGCAACAATAGAAGACAAAGCAAATGAGTGAGAGAGAGAGAGAGAAAACACATGGATTTGCTTGTGAATACCTTTCGCCAAAACCACGGTTTCGTATAAACCGTTCCGATCGACCAAGACATGATGATGATCGTTTCATTTCAGGTGTGCTTCTACCTCTGTTTCTTCTGCTTCTTCTTTCTCTCTTCCTTTTTCGTTGGTATTCGTTTAATCTGGCAGCATTTTGTTATTGATCATGGTTTAAAACAAGAATATGACTTCAGCTCCAAAAACAGTTCCACAAAGAACTATCGCGAATTTAACAAAAACAACAACAAAACGCAGCGCGAAAAAAAGAGAATCGACGTAAACACACGACAATATTTCACATGAAATTGCTGTTGCATGTACGAAATGTAAGCTATTCTCGGTTGAAATTGGTTTTCACATAAATCCACATTCATATTCGTGAATGACACATTTTCTACATTTCGTAATCGTCAAATATATCGTATATATTTCTTTTTACTGACTCTTCCAAGTGGAAGCGATCGCTTCGCTTGTTTTCTAACTATAAATACACAACACGAAAGGCGGTCAAATTTGGAAATTAAGTTTTTTCTTCGTGGTTTTGTCGATTTCAATTTATTTTGGTTGCGATTTGAATTGTCGAATTTAACAAACTTGCAAGAAACACTAGTTTCACTTAGGTATTTTCCGTGATCATGTTGGCCCACAAAAAATGATCAACACAGAAAACTAAAATGAAAGTTTTATGATATGCGCCGAAAATATGAAACAGATCTAAACTGATCGACGGTATTCTCAAAACTGAAATTAGTTCTCTCTGTGTATCTAACAACACACAACTACATGCAGAAACGAGCAAGCAAGCGAGCGAGCGAGTGAACGCGGACACGCTCATCAAGCGGTTTTACTATGTGTCTCTCTGTCTATCTCAATGGATCGCATATAGAGAAACACGTACGTTTTCCCAACGATGCGTTACAAGCTCATGGTGTAGTGTATTCTTTCTCTTGTTTCGTGTGCATGCAGTCAAAGTGTATATGGCGGTTGAAAATGGGAAAGAGAACGGTAGCTGTAAACAAAAGTTTTTTTTTTCTTCGTCGGATCGTGCGATAGCGCACACACATTAGCGTTTGCCGCTTTACGAAGAAAGAGAGAGAGGAAACTAATAGCTGAAAATAACAAAAGCATATTTCGAGCGAATGCCATGGAACTTGAATGCGCAAGAGAGCAAACAAGAAAGCGACAGACAGAAAGAAAGAGTTGATTGAGCTCTAATTCATTGAGAGGTACACGGTGATTGTTTGTTGTTCAGCTTTTAATTGTTTTGATATTCACTTCGAACACTTTTGTGTACGCGAGCATTTGTGTTTCGGCACATTTCTTTGATTGCATTTTCTTGTTCCGTTTGCCGTGCGCAATTTTCATATTTACAAAGAAGATGTTATGTGGGCGCTTTAGCGGCCAACCCAACCTTGTGTACCTTGTTTCATCGAAAATAGATTCTTTATCTAGACATTTCAAAACATTTAAATCGTTATATGACCGCCATTAACGACATCCACATTAAGTACTTTGTCACGACACAAAGCACCGAATCATTTTATTATTATGATATAGAGACGATTCATCGAACATTGATAACGCTTTCAAATCAAGCGGAAATATTGATACACAATCAATAAAACGCTTGAGCCAGCGTCCAATCAGATATTACAACATTTTTGCAATAATTGCTAAATTTTTTTGTGACTTTGATAAATGAACAAACCTTTTCGCCACGTAAGTCATTCGATTCCCATGACTGACGGTGAACTTTCATAGAAACAAGAACGACAAAACGAAAAACTTCAGAAAGACCAGAACGATCATCGAAGTATCAGCAAAAATTATCTTTTTACAAGCATCATCATGTGGATGAATAGTAAATCGTTTATATTGCCTTGTTTCATTTTGTCAGTCGATTCTACACTAAATTGTCGTCATTTCAAAGTAATTTTCAATTGTAATTATTTTGTTTTTGAATTTTTCTTCTTTTTTCCTTCAATTTTCCTCATTTTGTTTCTCAAAAAGCAAAGGTGTTTTTGGTTCCATTATGATTCGGCTTTCGTCAATTGGAACTCCACTTTTTAAAAATATACTCATATCTCCATGTTACAAAATTGCGACTGCATTCAGTATATTTCATCAGGGCCACTCATCAACAGCTGTATTTTTATCGCATTGTTGCCCAAGCGCAAATCAACGAAATCCAACCCATTTTTTTTTTGATAATTTTCAAAATTAAAAAAAAAATCACTGTTGGCATGGGCACAAGGAAAGAGTTACCATGCGAAATGAGCTCACTTCGCGTATCTCAGAATTCTCTGCGAATTATTAAGATGATTAAGAAATTCGGCGTGCACTCACCATATTTGTCAATAATTTCATACAGCCTTTTGTTGCCACACATTAAACAAAATGATGGTTGCACGAAACGTGTATTGAAAAAAGCAGGGAAAAAAAACTTTTTGCGCAATTTCGAACCATTTATCTTATCTTCATTATCGTGAACCTTTTGGATTTTATGTGTTCTCTCGCACTCATAGTTAAATTTTTTTTTAAATTTTAAATGTAGTTTTCACAGCTTGAGAACACTTGCACTCACATTTTAACCGACACAATGTATTTGAATGAATTTCATGCAAACTGATTATGAAATGATCAATGTTTCTTTTTTAAAATCTTCTTATTACATAAATCGATGTCAAAACTATGCTCTGAATAGAATAAATGATGACATGATGACTTAATATTGCTTGCCATGAAGTTTTCCCACTTTGAAGAACAATCTACCCTACGCTTTTTGATTTGATATAAGCAAATTGTTTCTTTTTCGTTTCAAGTTTACTTTATTTATCTAATCACTGCTTGATCCTTTAACTTAAATAACATCTAAGATATTCCTATTTGAATGATTTGTCCGTCTGGTTGAAACAACAGGCCCGACGATACCCGTGCTCTCAGAAATTGACACTGAATGGATTGGCAAAGCCGATTCCCAGCGCACACTCAAGCTAATTTTTCATTGGTTCTGTTATCAATTTCAAATAATCATTATCAATTCCGAACCGATATCATAGCGTTCTTTATCAGTCGCTTTTTTTCTTTTGCATTCATCGTGGTAATTTCCAACATGACGCTTTTTTTCGAACGTACAGAAACAACAACGAAACAAGAGAAAAATCGGCTGAGGTATGAATTTGATATTTACTTGTGACAACAAACCGAACAATCTAACGCACCGTCTATTTGCTATACTTGGAATATCGATGTACTGGCCGTTACTCATTGCGTAAGCATTTGCTTGATCAATGAGCAATAATTTATTCGCAGAACCATCTACACCATATCAATCACTTGACATTTTTAAAGAGAGAGAGAGAGAGAGAGAAAGGGGGAGGGGTGATAATACTATGTTTCTTTGATTTTGAGTACAATATCTGGCACGATGTGATTCGAATATCATGAAAAATGTTGTTTGTCACTTTTTGAACTACTGACTGACAATATTGGTGACCAGCAAGCTTCACTTTTTTTCCACTACGAAGTACACGGGCGCTGCGTGTACGAAACGTCGCTTGTATGGTTATTTCAAAATGTCTTGAAAATTCAGGTTGGTAACAAAACCTGTATCCCTTGATTATACAAACATCTTACATTCATTATTGTGTAAAATCAATTTTGCAGCTTGAATCAATTTCTATGGGTACTTTTTTTCTGTGGATTTTTTTTCTCTTTTTTTAATTTAAAATTCGTTGTCTCGAAGGCAATTAATTTTCGAAATCTCCTTCATTTGGGTGCAAAATCGAAAACATCTGTTGATCGATTTCCAGCTTGTGAAGCTGTGGTAAAGTTATCTCATTTACAATGTATTGAAAATGAAATGAGTCCAATACAAATTTATTGTATATGAATATAAAATTGCTTCATTGACTTTGTTTATCGAATGTGCGATCCTCGTCGAATACCTGTTGCAATGCCACAACATTCCTTCAAAGAGTTGAGACCGCCCAAAATAGTACATCAGTGCACGATGAGGATGAAGTTGAGTGAAGGTGTTAGTATTCGATGTGGAAATTTGAAATTCGCCACCACATCACACGTATACTGGAAACGTCGCCAATTGAAATGTATATAAGTAGAGTAGAAGATCAGTATCTTTCACAGTAGAAAAATGAAGGGTCATATTCCTAGAATTATTGTTGTATACCTTATACTTCAGGTGGTTTTTTCTTTATTAATTTTTTAAAAAATCAAATCGATAAAGTGAATACTGTTATCAAGAGAATTTTTTTTCCTGCAAATCGTCCGTGTTAAACTTAACAACGTTTTTTTCACATTTTGACGGAAAAATATTGTGCGTCAGAAATCTCGTTTTTGTTAGAAGATTTTATTTATCAGACAAACGTTTTGTATCGAATCCGAATCGGACGGTTTGCAAAAAAAAATCCTGACTGCATTACATCTCTAGGTGAGATTGAGAGTATTGTATATTTTTTCGACTTATATTTTGATAAAGTAGAGTATGTTTCACAGGTGGTTCATTGCGATTTTTAATTTATTGTCAAGAAATATCGAAATGGTGTCCTCTCAAAAATCGTTGGTCTTTTCAAACTGTACAATTTTGCAAAAGAAATCCAACGTATATTTGTTGAAATAAATAATTTACTTCAAACATTTCGTAGCACTTGAAAACATACTCTACTTTTTTAAATACAAAGTCCCGTGAAACATACACCATTCTCAATTCCACCCATAGATATGTGAGGAAAATATGTTATGGGAAATTAAAGTGGACTTGCAGAATAAGTGTACTGAAACGTTACATAAGAAAAATACGAAAAAATAAAATATATAAAGACAGTGTAATAAATCTATATTACATTGCTGTCACTCATTTATATTTCACTTTTTTGCATTTTAACAAAATAATTTTCAAGACTTTCCAAGTCGAGTTTTAGAATTAAAAAACTTCGTTTCCTAGGCTTAAGCTTACGGTTATGAAAAATTGAGTAAAAATTTTCGTTTGACAAAATTTCCGAAGTAGATGCAATTTTTCCTGCATGAAATCGTGTTGTGACAATTTTTTTTCGAATTACCCGTTCAGGCTAAAGCTACTCTTTTTGACGAAAAACCAGTAGCATCTTTTTTTAAATAATATTTTTCTTGGGTAGAGATTTTCTTCGAACAACTTATTCGCTAGCTATCAAATAACGGTGGAATTTGGTGCACTTGAATTCCGTATTGGATTGTACTATTAAAATTGACTTTAAATTTTCGATCAATACAGCAGAACTGTCATTCTTCCTAATTTTATTATATCATTTTGCTATTGTTATTGACTACGCATGCATTCACGCAGAATAAGATTTGATTTAGACTTGTTTGTTTATTTATTCATTTTGTTTAGATAAATCTTCAAAATGGTATTGAAGAATCCAATAACATATTTCATGAAACATTCGTATAAGCGTTGAACGCCTCAAACATTCGATTATAATAACACGTCTCACATATGTGTCGTTGAGAATAAAAATGGGATTAGCCGAAACCGCTCATTTACATGTGAATCATTTTTGTGTTCCTGGTAAGAGATAGAAGACATATGTCTGCTGCAATGTTTTAGAATATTTCAAGATCTTTATCTTTGCTTGAGATACTTGCCCCATATCTTGTACCAGAAACACAAAAATGATTCGCATAAAAACACGCGGTTTCGGCTAATCCCATTTTTATTCTCAACGACACATATTTCGATCACTCGATCGTTAATAATTCATATATATTTAAGAAAACACTTTTCTTTCTCAAGATCGCATAAATTTTGAGCAAAATCGGTGAATTATAGCAAT